ATAGATAGATAGATAGATAGATAGATAGATAGATAGATAGATAGATAGATAGAAACTTTATTGTCATTTTTTACTGTGGGCACAATGGCACAAATTAAAAATGAAATTTAGTTGCTTGCTCTCAAGGTGTACACACACATAACACACATTTAAACATGCTATATACAACGTATGTATAGACCTACACCCTTACATATAAGTAACATAAATATTAATCATTGTCCATCTTGAATACATAACGGAAGGAGGAAGCTTTAGAGTTCACAAAGTTAATACTGTATGGAACAAAACTATGACTGAATCTGGATGTTCTGCTTCGGATACCATGGAGCCTTCTTCCAGAAGTTAACAAGGAAAACAGGTCGTGAAGAGGATGTGTCGTGTCCCAGACAATTTTGCGGACCCTGCTCAAGCAACGCTTATGTGCCATGTCCTGTATGGGAGGGAGGGAACTGCCAATGATCTTTTCTGCTGTCCTCACCACTCTCAGCACCATCTTCCTGTCTGAAGCAGTGATGCTTCCAATCCAGACTGATCCTGTATGACAGGATGCTCTTGATCGTCCCTCTGTAGAAAGTGGTAAGGACGGGGGAAGGAAGATGTGCTTTTCTCATGCGACGCAAAAAATGCAGGCGCTGCTGTGCCAGCTTCACCAGTGTCTCGCTGTTGAGCGACCGAGCCAGCCTACTTGTTAAACTTCTCTTTTCAAAGAAAAAAGCTGTATAACTTTTCTGATGTATCCTGCGTTTCCCAGAAGTTCATTTGGACATCCTTATTAAACTCTTCCATATAGGTAGTCTTCGACTTATGACCATGTGTTTACCAACCATTCTAAGTTACGACAGTGATGAGAAAAGGGCAAATGGTCCTCGCATCGATGACTGCCACTGTCCTCGTGGTGACGTGATCGGAATTTGGCACTCGGCCACCAGCGTGCATTTACGACAGTTGCGGCATGCTGGGATTGCTGCTTTGCAATCTTCTGACAAGTAAAATCAACGGGGGAAGCCGGACTCGCTTAATGACCATGCTAAAAATGGTCACAAAAGTGGGTGCATTTGTTAAAATGCAGTATTGCAGGCAAATTCACTGCTCACTGCTAGCAGTTTGATCCTAACCAGCTCGAGGTTGACTCGGGCTTCCATCCTTCTGAGGTCAGTAAAATGAGGACCCAGATTGTGGGGGGCATTAGGCCGACTCCATAAATTGCTTAGAAAGGGCTGCTAAGCCCTGTGAAGCTGTCTATAAGTCTTAGTGCTATTAATGACTGCATTCCTTGGTAACCTAAGGCCCAGTCCCAACTGTGGTCGTAAGTCAAGGACTACCCAATACAGGATAGGGCCATCCAGTAGAAACCTCACATTTAGAGCAATGCATATATCCTGCCAGTAGTTGCCTCTGAGCTTGACTACTCCAGCGGACTGCATGTAGGGCTTCCCTTGAAGGGTGCAAAATGAGGTAGCCAGGCTGTTAACTAGCCTGATGCAGGTAGTCCTCAACTTACAACACTTCGCTTAGTGACCATTTGAAGTTAACGGCTGTGAACAAAGTGACTTAATGACCATTTTTCATATTAGGACCATCGGTGCCTCCCCAATGGTCACGCGATCAAAATTCAGGCGCTCGGCAACTGACTCGTATCTATGACGGTTGCAAGCAAAGCCCAATGACGGAAGCCTGATTCAGTGCACAACTGTGTGACCTATCTTAGCAACCGCAGTGATTCATTTAGCGACTGTGGCAAGAAAGGTCATAAAACGGGGCAAAATCCACTTAACCAATTTCTTGCTCAGCAACACCAAATTTTGGACTCAAACTGCGGGCCTAAGTCGAGGAGCAGACTTGCTGCCATTGCGATGTCCTTGATTTCCTGCTGTTTTAAGGGCACGTGGAAGGGGGGTGCTTTTACTTTCATCACCCCTAAATGGCTGGGGTGGGCGTGGGGGGCCTGGATACATGAGGGATCCCGGTTCCCAATTTGAACCAGGATTAGCTGAGGTGGCGGCCCTTTGAGAGCTGTATGCAACAACACAATGTCATTTTGGTGTGTGCTGATTGGTGTACATTCAAAGTGACAATAAAGTTGTTATTATTGTTATTGAACCAGGGTTAGTTGAGGCGGCCCTGTTGAAAGTGGCCTCTCTTTCCTCACATAATGGGCTCAGGGATTGCGCTCAGCTACCAGGCTTTAATAATAAAGAGATTATGGAGGCCTTCGGCCCTTCCGAATCCCCATCCCGCCTCGGCAGTCTACAAAACCGCCCCAGTTTCGGGACAAAGGACGCCTATTTTGCCTCCTCGTTAGGAAACGGCGAGGCGAGCAACTCGCCAGGCCTCAGCCGGGAGACCAGGCCGCTGTTGCCGTGGTAACTGCGCGACTCCTCCCCTTTTCCCTTCGCTACAGGAAAGTGGCTCCCTTACCGACTCGGCGACCAAAAGCCCAATCAGGTCTTTGTTTGTAGCCTGAAGGGCTAACCAATCAGGGCAAACCTCGCAGGGGCGGATCCTTTCGCTTCGCTCCACCCACCACGCTGTAGCCCAATGATATTCGCTGTACTTAATAAACTTTCGCGTTTTTTTCCGCTCGTCCAGCCAATCAGCTGCCCCGATAGTTTATTTTTTTTTTTCCCCCCCGTCGGCTTGCCCAATTGGCTACTAGGAAACCCCGCCTCTGTCTTAACAACCATTGGTTTTTCTACCTGCGAGGGAAGTAAAGGTTAAAAAAAAAAAAAAAAGATCTATCTCAATACGCCTTTCTGAGCCGTGATCGAATCAGCGGGAACCTCACTCTAAAAGCCCGCCTCCCCGAGGCAGACAATCCAATCGGCGCCCGAGTTTTTCCCTTCGGGTCCCTCCCTCTTTAACACGCTTCATCTTTCCTTCGCATCCTTTCAGCCAATCCGCGCTGCGGACGCCTCTGCGCACGCGTGCTGCGCCCCCTCGCGAGGCGAAGGAGAAGGGAGGGGTACGGTCCTGGAGGGAGCAGCGTCCGCCGCCATCTTAGAATCGCTGCTGCTCCTGCTTCGCTGCGGCCGCGTCTGAGGAGGGAGCGAAGCCCTTCGGAGGCCGACGGGACGGACGAAATCGCCGCGGTCTAGCGGCCGAAAGCGAAGGGGAAGGTGGGTGAGTGACTTAGAAGGTGAAAAAGAACCCAAAACAGCCAGGCCTCAGGCGGTCGAAGCATCGAACGGGTAGTGGCGGTGACGTCACGCCGCGGACGGTGACGTCAAACGGGAGAGGGGGGGCTTAGGATTTCCCCTAGGGCTCCGAAAGAGGAGAGGGGGGGAAAGAGGCGCAGATGCCGAAAGGGGCGTGGCTTCGGGGCGAGGGCGTGGCTTGGCCTGGCCCCCTCGGGTACCTTTCGGCCTTTCCTTTCTTCCCGGAAGTGTGTTTTTGGGGAGGGGGCTTGGAGGAGGGGGAGGCCGCTGCTCGTCTTCAGGGCAGGTAGGTGACAAGATGGAGCCTTGGGGAAGGCAAGGAGTCGGGGAACATGGCGCAGAGGGTACCCTGGTCCATGTGGCGCTGCTTTTCTACCCACAGGCGCTGGGGCTGCGGTGTGCTGGTGCTTCGTTGCCTTAGTCGAGGCGAGGCAGGAGGAAGGAAGGAGAGAGAGAGAGAGGTAGGTGCCATCATTGGGCCCATTGGATAAGGGAGTGATTCTCAACCTTGGCAGCTTGAAGATGTGTGGACTTCGACTCCCATAATTCCTCAGCCAGTATGGCTGGCTGGGGAATTCTGGGAATCGAAGGCCAGACATCTTCAGCCCCCAGGGTGGCTGGCTGGGGAATTCTAGGAGTCGAAGGCCAGACATCTTCAGCCCCCAAGGTGGCTGGTTGGGGAATTCTGGGAATCGAAGGCCAGACATCTTCAGCCCCCAGGGTGGGTGGCTGGGGAATTCTGGGAGTCGAAGGCCAGACATCTTCAGGCCCCAGGGTGGCTGGCTGGGGAATTCTGGGAGTTCAAGGCCAGACATCTTCAGCCCCCAGGGTGGCTGGCTGGGGAATTCTGGGAGTCGAAGGCCAAACATCTTCAGCCCCCAGGGTGGCTGGCTGGCTGGCTGGGGAATTCTGGGAATCAAAGGCCAGACATCTTCAGCCCCCAGGATGGCTGGTTGGGGAATTCTGGGAGTCGAAGGCCAGACATCTTCAGCCCCCA